GGCGCGCGCGCGGGGCGGGGGGAAGACTGAACGAGGTCCTCACCTTTGGGACCCCAACGGGGCCAAGGGAGCTTTGAGTCTTTGACAAGGCAGATGTAGCCGCCTGAGCGGCGAGACAGCGCAGGCGGGCATCTGGTCTCTTTGGCCTGCTCGAAGCCCCTCTCGAACTCTGCAAGGGGCATAGGGTGATACGGTGACAGTTACAGGTGGGGTGGGGTGAGGAGGAAAATGCGAGACGAGACACCGGGGGGAGGATTACCGGAGCTTCAGATAACTGTAGACCTGGACCAGGGGGCGTGTGGCAAAGCAATGATTTTGGGGTAGCAAATACTTAGGACCGAGTCGAACCGATTTCAAACCATTAAACCAGTCAGCGTTAGACTAGTCAGCGGCTGACTGGTCCACTGCTTTGAGTTTCTAACAACAGCAAGTCGAGGGTTCGAACCTCAGCTTGAGTGAACGCTTGGAGACGTTTCACCTTCACGAGACCGACCCTGCGTACTCTAGCGAACTAGCGACGAAACATTTCGACGTCTGAGACCTGCTGGACATTCTGACCGTATGGCCCTCGACGTATTTAGTTATAGCGCGGCACCGCTTGGCTGGGTGAGCACGGCAGTACCCAGGGCAACGTGCCATCACACCCATCGCCCCCGCCCACCAATCATCGACGAGGGGTGAATCGAAAACCGGCATGCACACGCGGCGCTCACCGTTTCCTTGTCTTCGTGCCTCTCTTCCTCCTTCTTCATCTCTCGCTCCAAGATTTTCCATCTGCCGCACAACAAGAATAACGAAAAAAAAAGGCACACCGCAACGCGCAGCAGCGAGGGGGCTATTGGTTCGGGGCGCGCTTCTCACTAGTGTTCTACATTTGCACGTAGGCAAATGGGCCGCTCTCTCCTTAGCTATGACAAAAACAGAGTATACATACTAGGACTCAAACAGCCAACACGCACAAGAGCCCGACCTTCCAGGAAGGCCCTCGTCTCTTTCACATAATAAAAGCACACTGGTTCCAGTATGTACCAACACCCAGGAGACTTAACAGCAGCCTTTTGCCGCTCCCACATCTAAAAAAAATCAGTCGCTGCGGTTCCACTTTCGCCACCCCCTTTGCTCCGTTCGACTGTGCCTCCAGCAGACGTTGGTTGACGCCATGTAGCACGAAGCCGCAGGCAGGGGGGCACGCAGATGTACTTGTTACCTCTATAATGCTACTTCCTATAATAGTGCTCTTTGTCTGTCCTATCGCACCTTATCTTGGTCGCGTTCTCCGTGCGTCCGTCGAGGTGCTGCGCCGGCGGTGTCAGGGGGGGGAGGTGACGTCATTGCACATGAAACAAGGAATAAATCGAGGGGGGGCGGGGGTCGTCGAGCCGAAGGAAATGAAGCGTTGGTAGTCGGATTGATTTAAAGGGGTCAGATCGGAGTCCCCGCTGGGTACAGAGGCATCTGAAAGTGTATACTGGGGCAGCTGAAAGTGCATATTGGGGTTCACCAGATGTGATCTCACGCTCTTGAGAAGGTGACGGAACCAGGAAGAGTAGACAGCGGTTGTGGGCAAGCGACAGACGATGGCCTCGAGGCGTTGTCGCTGCACTCGGATGTGTTGTTCCCTAGTGTGGGGGCAGTGTCAGTCGCAGACCAGGTGGTGTTCACGCGGTTTACGTCGCCTGCTCGACGCTTACCGCAAACGACATCTACATGCATAGCTTCCGGAAACTTTTACCGCCAGACCAGCTACGGTCAAGCAACAACACAGGACGCCGGCCGCAAGACATCAAGCAGTCGTACCTCTCCCGCAAAAATCTACACAAAATACTATAGTGGTCCCTCCGGAGTGAGCTGCACAGTAGTGATGCAACAAGAAAAAAAAAGCAAGCAGTAGGACGAACTGCCAGTTGTGGTATGACGTTTCCCAAGCTCACACAGCAGACGTGTTTTCGACTCGAACAGCCCAGCGAACCTCAACCAAAACAAAAATAAATATTTCCAAACCTGTGTACAGTCTTATCTCAGCGACAAAGCACCGCCCGCAACGGAAAACAGTGGCTGGTGGCCTGCCTCACCTGGGCTATCTGTGCCCACTTGTTCCCCATCTGCTGCTGCAACAAGATGATCATTTGGTCCTCTGCTTCGGTCCAGCCACCTTTGACGATCCTTGGATCCAGATGGTGGCACCATCGCTCTCGACACTGCACAGTGTGCGCACAAGAAAAACACGCACATACAGAATCGTGGGTTGAGTTTGGTGTTATTGCACTTGTCGCGAAACATGTGCATATGCATACATGACAAAGGAATAAGAGGAAAATACAATGGGCTGCTGCACTTCGTAGTCTACTGCTGCTGTAGCTGCATTGGCCTGAGCTGGGTTTAGCCACGCAGTGAAGGACAAAAAAGAGAACAGGAGAGCAAAAAAAACATAAAAAAATGCAGAGGTTTGAGGCATCGGTTGGACTAGCATAGGGAGGGAAAGGGGAGGGGCTTGGTTGCAACAACGAGCTTTACTTGTTGACAACACAACCTACCCACTACCAACAGCAACAGTAACAACAACAGCAGCAGCAGCAGCAGCAACAACAACAACAACAACAACAGACCTACTGCTGTACCTGCTTTGATGTTCTTCCAGGAATCCTCGCGCTAAGGCTACCCCAGTTCTTATGGCCTTCGTTCACGATGGACACGAGGAGCTGATCCTCTTCAGGCGTCCACTGGCCTTTCACCAACCCCGGCGTAAGCACTTTCTTCCACCGCTGAAGACACTGCACGTGATTTCTAGTCTTCACCTCCGCCGCGATCTCCTTCCAGTTCGTCTGCAGGGAGGGAGGGGAGGGGGGGGGGGAGACGCCGGCCGAGAGAAAGGGAGAGAGGGAAAAA